TAAGGTATGGACATTTAGGGTTCTGAATAGGAATTGGTTGCCAGTTCCAATTTCCATAAAGGTGTCTCCTGTGTTTTCTAAAATCCTTATAGTTTGAGGTTTTACGTTTAGGTCTTTGATCCATTTAGAGTTAATTTTTGTGTATGGTGATAGGTAGGGATCCTGTTTCATTATTCTGCATGTGATCAGCCAGTTTTCCCAGCACCATTTACTGAATAGGTTCTCCTCTCCCTAGTGGTGGTTGTTGGAGGCTTTGTCAAAGATGAGTTGGTTGAGAAATTGAGGCTTTGCTTCTGGAATCTCTGTCCTGTTCCATTGGTCTATGTACTTGTTCTAGTACCAATACCAGGCTGTTTTGATTACTGTAGCTTTATAGTAAAGTTTGGAAGTCTGGAAGTGTGATACCTCCTGCTTTGTTTCTTTTGCTAAGGATTGTTTTGGCTATCCGTGTTTGTTTATGTTTCCATATGAATTTCTGTATTGTCATTTCCAGGTCTGAGAAGAATGATGTTGGTAGCTTAATGGGTATTGTGTTGAATCTGTATATTGCCTTTGGTAGAATGGACATCTTAACAATGTCGATTCTTCTTATCCGTTATTATGGTATGTTTTCTCATTTGTTTGTGTCTTCTTGGATTTCTTTGAGCAGCATTTTGTAGTTCTCATTGTAAAGGTCTTTCACTTCTCTTCTCTGATTAGGAAGATGCCGAGGTACTTCATTTTTTTGGTGGCTATTGTGAATGGGATTGTGCTTTTAATTTGAGTCTCTGCCTGCTTGATGTTGGTGTATAGGAATGCAACTGTCTTTTGCACATTTATTTTGTACTCTGAGACCTTGCCAAAGTCCTTTATCAGTGCAAGCAGGTTTTTGACAGATTCTTTTGGATTTTCAAGGTATAGGATCATATCATCAACAAAGAGGAATAACTTGACTTCCTCTTGTCCTATTTGGATACCCCTGATTTTCTTCTCTTGTCTAATTGCTCTGGTTAGGACTTCCAACACAATGTTGAACAAGCCTTGTTCTGTTGCAGTTTTCAGGGGAAATGTTTCTGGTTTCTGCCCATTTATCAATATGTTAGCTGTGGTTTTATCGTAATTGGCACTTACTATTTTAAGGTATGTTTCTTCTATACCTAGGTGTTTGAGGGTTTTTATCAAGAAGGGATGCGGGATTTTATCAAAAGCTTTTTCTGCATCTAATGAGATAATCATGTGGTTCTTGTTTTGACATCTGTTGATGTATTTAATTACATTTATGGTCTTGTGAATGTTGAACCAGCTCTGCATCCTGGGGATGAAGCCTACTTGGTCATGGTGGATGATTTTTGAGATGTGTTTTTGGATCCGATTAGCTAGAATCTTGTTGAGGATTTTTGCATCTGTGTTCATAAGGGATATTGGCCTGTAGTTCTCTTTTTTTTGTTGGATCTTTACCAAGTTTGGTATCAGTGTGATGTTAGCTTCGTAAAATGATTTGGGGAGAATTCCATCCTTCTCAACTGCCTGGAATACTTTCAGTAGGTTTGGTATCAGCTCCTCCTTGTATGTTTTGTAGAATTGTGCTGGAAAGCCATTCGGTCCAGGGCTTTTTTTTTGTAGGTAGTTTTCGTATGTCAGAGTCAATTTCCTGGGTTGTTATTGTTCTATTTAGTGTCTCGGTGTCTTCTTGTTTCAACCTGGGGAGGTTGTGTGATGTCAGAAAGTTCTCCATTTCATTTAGGTTGTCAAGTTTGTTTCCATATAGATGTACATAGTAATCCCTGATAATCTCTTGTATTTCTTTGGGGTCAGTTGTGATTTGGTTTTTTGTATTTCTGATTGTGTTTATTTGAGTTTTTTCTCTCTTTTCCTTGGTCATTCTGGCTAGGAGTTCATCGGTCTTGTTAATTCTTTCAAAGAACCAGCTTTTTGTTTTGTTGATGTTTTCTATGATGTTTTTGTCTTCTATGCCCCGTATTTGAGCTCTTATTTTGGTGATTTGGATTCTTCTGCTAAAGTTGGGATTTTTGGTGTTCTTCTCTTCCAGCTCCCTTAGGCGATTTGTTAGAATCTCCTCTTGTGATCTTTCCGTTTTCTTGAGGTGTGGTTGTAGAGATATAAATCCCCCTCTTAGAACTGATTTCATGGTATCCCAGAGGTTTTGGTAAGATGTTTCTTCATTTTCATTTGTTTCCAGGAATCTTTTAATTTCTGCTTTGATTTCAGTGTCAACCCAGTAGTTTTTCAGCATCATGCTGTTTAGTGTCTATGTCTTTGTGGAAATTTTGTTGGTGTTAGTATTTATTTTTATTCCACTGTCATCTGAGAATGTGCATGGCAAGATTTCAACCTTATAGAATTTGTTTATGCTTGATTTGTGGCCAAGGATGTGATCGATCTTGGAGTACGTTCCATGTGGTGACAAGTAGAATGTATATTCTGAAGTTGTTAGGTGGAATAATCTGTAGGTATCTATTAAGTTTATTTGGTTGAGTGTCAAGTTTAGTTTCTGGATCTCCTTGTTGATTTTTTTACCTCAATGATCTATATAGGGCTATAAGTCCCCTGCTATAATAGTGTAAGAGTCAATATATTTAGTTTACTAAGTAGTTGTTTTATAAATGCTGGTGCTCCTGTGTTGGGTGCATTTATGTTTAGGGTGGATATTTCTTTTTTTTTGGAGTTGGAGTCTCCCTCTGTCGCCCACACTGGAGTGTAGTGGCTGCTCCCGGCCATCGCAGCCTCGACCTGGTGAGCTCCAGCGATCCTTCCGCCTCAGCCTTCCGAGTAGCCGGAATTACAGGCACGCGCTACCATACCCGGCTGATTTTTTTATTTATTGTAAAGATGAGGCCTCAGCAAGTTGCCCAGGTGGTTCTTGAACCCGTGGGGCTCAGGCAATCCACTCAACTCAACCTCCCAAAGTGCAATTACAGGCTGAGCCACTGAGCCCGGCAGGATGGATATTTCTTGTTGATGTATTGAATCTTTTATCATTATGTAGTGTCCTTTTGCATCTTTTAAAATTTTTGATAACTTAAAGGTTGTTTTGTCTGATATTAAGATTGCAACTCCTGCCTTCTTTTGTGATCTGTTTGCCTGGAAACTCGTTTTCCATCCTTCTACTTTGAGTCTGTGTGCGTCCCTTGTAGTGAGATGAGTCTCCTGGATGCAGCAAATAATTGGGTCATAGTTTCTTATCCAGTTTGCCATTCTTTGGCACATTTAGTTCATTCACATTCAGGCTGATTATTGAAATGTGATTGTTTATCCCTTTCATGAGGTTCTTATAAAGTTTTTTCTTTGCTTGTTTTCTTTTGACTTTGGGGTTAATGTATGTGTGTGTTTTCAAGTTTCTTGTTGTGCTGTATTCTCTATTGATTCTGTCCTCTGCAGTTGTGTTGGGAAGTGTGTGGTCATTCTTTTTTTTCTTCTGTGCTTAATACCTTTTTAAGTGTCTGCTGTAAAACTGGTCATAATCTGTTAGGGATTGGATGTCTGGGAAGGATTTTAATTCTCCATCACTGATGAAGCTGAGCTTGGCTGGATAGGAAATTCTTGGTTGCAATTGTTTATCTCTGAGGACTTTGAATGTAGGGCTCCAGTCCCTTCTTGCTTGTAGTGTTTCTGCTGATAGATCTGCTGCTGTTCTGATTGGTTTTCCTGGGTAGGTAGTCTGACCATTCTCTGTCGCCTTTAGGATTTTTTCTTGTGTGCCTACTTTGTGTAGGCGAATTTCTCTGTGTTTAGGGGTTGGTGTTCTCATTTGATTTCTTGTGGGGGTTCTCTGTATCTCTTGTACTTGACTGGTCACACCTCTGGTGAGATGGGGAAAGTTTTCTTGGATTACTTCCTGGAATGCTTGCTCCAAGTTGTTCTCCGTTTCTTTTTCTTCTTCTGGGATACCAATCAGGGGTAGGTTTGGCCTCTTGATATAATTGCATATTTCTCGTAGGCTTTGTTCTTTCTTTCTGAGTCTTCTTTCTATGTTTTTTACAGATCAGGTTAATTCCATGTTCTGGTCTTCAAGTTCTGAGATTCTTTCTTCAGCTAGATTAATTCTGCTTTCCATGCTTGTCATCTTGTTATTTATTTCCTGTATGAAATTTTTTATCTCTGTTGTAACCAAAATCTCTGTTACAAGTTCTTTCAGTGTTGCATCTTATCTTTCTTGAGTCTTATTTACTCTTTCCATCCATTCCCTAATCCCTGTTGTATTCTTAGGCCTGTCTTGGTGACTTCCATTGTTTGGGCACCTAGGTCTGATATTTCAGGAATTTTGGCTTTGGTACACTTGAAATTACCTGTGATCTTCCTTTGGTTTTTCCTCATTTGTGATATATCTCTTGTTTTTCTCTTTAGTTCTGTTATTCAGTGTCAGTGGGAGAGGCTTTCTCTTCTGATGTTTGTTCAGTCCTCTATTCTTTCCTCATCTGGGCCTGGATTTGTTCTATTTTGAAATAGGATGGTGGATGGGAAGCTTTGTTGTCCCTTGTAGTTTTTGAAATACGACTAAAGTAGGAGATGGGGCACTAGGATTCAGAAACTACTTGCAAATTACAATGTTTACTTATTGTGGTATGTGTTCCCTGAGAACCACTCCCCACCATCACTCTATGTGACAATGCAAAGCAGAAACCAATGCAAAACACACACACACACACACACACACACACACACACACACACAGACACTGACATACACTCACCCCAAAACAAACTGGATTAACAACAAAGTGTAATAAAACAAAGAACAACAAAAAACCAAGGAAACTAAACACACACACATATGCCTAGCACAAAGTGAATAGAGAAGAAAAACAGAAAGACCAGGGGAAAAAAAGGAATTCTAATCAAATCCTCACACATATATTGACACTCGCCTTAAGCTATAAAAAATGAAAATAAAAACCCCAGAAGAACAAAAGAATAGAAACATACAAATAACAACAAAGTTGAAAGATTAACAATTAATCATTCATAAGCAGAAAACGACAAATAGACGAAAGAAACAGGATGATGGTGGCCGGGCCAGGTGGGTGACTTGTGCCATCATTTGGGCTGTGGTTGCTGTTAGCAACTGTGCTTCAAGTGATGTCTACCTTTGGGGCAGAGTTTTCATCGGAGTCATGCAGAGAGCTGGGTTTTTCCAGCAACTTGCTCTGCAGCTCTTGTGAACGTCACAGACAGTTTAACCTGCTCCACCTAGATCCTGATTGCAGGGGATGCTGTCAGGAGGAAGCACAAGTTGAAACCAAAAAGCTGTATGCAGGAGCTATTCTTGAAGTCTGTGGATGAAAATTGGGACAATTCCCTCAATCCATTCTTTCGTCAGGAGTGATAAAAACGAACTATTCAGAGGACTGCAAATCAAGTATTCGTGGATCAGACCCTGTGTTAAAGCTTTTGGATAACTATAGGAACGTCATTGAAGAGCTCAGCATCCTCAAATGGAACACAGTTTAGAAGAATTCCTGAGTGAAAAGTTGGCGTGCATATATATCTTGCTTAAATTGTGTCCTATCCTTTTGTTATCTTATCAAATGAAATATTACAGCACCTAGAAAATAATTTAGTTTTGTTTGCTTCCATTTTTGATCAGTCTTTTACTCTGAGGCATTAAACATTTAATTAGGTCTTGAAGTAGCAGCACAGTCCATGATATCTAAGGAGACAGCAAGCTTAACAAAACTCATTGGTTATTGTTTATTTATTTATTTGCATGGGAGTCTCACTCTGTCACCCAGGCTGGAGGGCAGTGGCATGCTCCCGGCCACCACAGCCTCATCCTGCTGGGCTCAGGTGATCCTTCTGCCTCAGCCTTCCAAGTAACTGGAACTATAGGCACACGCCACCATGCCCGGCTAATTTTTTTTTTGGGGGGGGGGGGAGATTTATTGTAGAGATGAGGTATTGCCAATTTGCCCAGACTGGTCTCGAACCAGTGAGCTCAGGCAGTCCTCTCACCTCAGCCTCCCAAAGTGCTGGGATTACAGGCATGAGCCACTGCACCTGGCCAAAACTCATTGTTTATAAATTTCCGTCTGCTTGCATTTGTTGATACTATGAACAGAATGCTTTGTAACAGGCTTGTGATTAATTATACAAATTATAGTTTGTGATAATTGTCCAGTTTTATGAACAACAGATTTTTAAATTAGGGAGTTAATAACACAGATGATTACAATGCCTCTTGTGCTGTGTGACCTTTGAAAGTAATGACAGAAAACTACAGAGTAAGTAAGATACATTGGTTGCCTACTGCACAGTGTCTCATATTTTTGTATTACACAGCTTTCTTTTTAATAGAAATGTCATTTGTAGTTTGTAATGAATGCACTGCATAAGAACTTTGTAACTTTATTATTGCAAAACAGATCCAAAATCTATCAAACATTCAGAGATTTGCATCAATGAAAACTATACAGAAAACCTTTCTAAGGATTTGTGTGGATCTGATATCTGGCAAATGTTTGAGTTTTACACTCTTACAGGAAAGTCCATTTAAAAATGATTATTTGTAAGACCAAAATATAAATTTTAAAAAGTTTCAAAAAAAAAAGAAACAGAAAAAGTTAAAAAAAAATGGAGGGATGCAGATCAAGCCCTTATATACACATTCATGCACAAAGGTAAAATATTTTAAGAATAGATGAACTAACAAACAGTCAAATAATTTTTTAAAAATTTTAAAAAATTAAAAATTGAGATTAAAACCTGCCCTCTTGTGGCAGGCTCTGTAATTTGTTCCTCTAATCCGGTCTCTCCTGAAGAGCCACCTCTTTCTTTCCTCAGTGTCTGGAGCTGGGAAGGAGGAGGGGCTGTGGAGGTGGCTGGGGCTGCTGTCCGCCCCTCCTACTCTCCTACGGTCAGGGAGATCTCCTCCCGTGGGGAGGTGCAGGGGTGTCTCTTCCCCAGGTCACATTGCCCTTTTTTTTTTGAGTTGGAGTCTCACTCTGTCACCCAGACTGGAGTGCAGCGGCCGCTCCCGGCCACCGCAGCCTCGACCTGCTGGGCTCCGGCGATCCTTCCGCCTCAGCCTTCCAAGGAGCTGGAACTACAGGCGCGCGCTACCACGCCCGGCTGATTTTTTGATTTATTGTAGAGATGAGGTCTCGCTGCCTAGGTGGGTCTCTTTAGTTGCCATTGTTTTGTTAAGCATTAAAAAAAAATTTTTTTTTTTACCTAATCTTCTTAGTAGTCAAAGGAATGAATATTACGTCCTTTGCATCCAGTGCAATAATAAAAGTATACGTGGGGTTTCTTTTACAGAGTTATCTTTACCATTGCCCTTTCTTCAACCTGTTTGTAAAACTTTGATAATTTTTATTATTTTGGAGTAAAATGAACTGTTTTTTCAAGTGAACAGAATGTTTCATTCACTTGTTGGAACAGTCAGAAAATATTTAAAAGGTTTTAACAACATAGATCTAGGCAAGTGAGATAAAGAATATAGGGCTATAAGTGTAGGGAAACAGCTTTGTCAAGGCACCCTAGTGACCTTGCTTATGCCCATATAGGCAAAGGTTTGGACCTCAGGACTGCAACTTATCTGAGTCTTGACTTATCTTGTGATTCTGGGATAGGAAGAGATCAGTGACCACTGAGAAGCTACTGTGACGCTGTCTCCCACTCTCTGTCTCACTTGAAAGTCTGTCATGAGACAGTTAGTCTTACCTCCCTGGTTTTGATGAGATACTAGACTTTTGTTCCCCTCACCCCCTTAGAATAGAGCTGTAGGATGTAAAACTACTAGTCTAGATTGAACTCAACAACTTATGGGTAGTCAGCCAGGCCCTTTTGCTATTATCATTGATGGTGTTTGGGTCATGGATACAGGCAGCTTACTCTTTGACTAATGTTTTTTATATGGCATAGACTATTTAAACCTAATAAACTGTCTAAATTTTAAAATGGCTCATTATATCTTTTGTGGTAGAATTAGTCAAGCTTTGGCCCTGCCTTGGTTGCATTTATTCACTTGACAGTGAGTACACATCCTTCCTTTTTTGGTGAGCATGGAAAGTAGTCATATCAGTTTAGTTGGCAAAAGCCAAGCCTTTTTAAGATAATAAGGAATAATAATAAATAGCGCCTAATAATTACTGAGTGCTTATGTGCCAGCACATAGAAAGGCATATTTAAGTCTATTTTATACTATTTTGTTTGTATTTTACCAATGGGAAAACAGATTTTAAGATGACTTTCTAAAAGTCACATAGTGATTAAATAGTACGGATGATACTGTACAACCTGAGCCACCTGATTCCAGAGTTTCTTAAAATTATACTGTTCTGCATATCATGTCTACATGTCTGGGTGTGTTTATGTGTTGCTTGTGTACATATATGTGTGTGTATATGTACAGATCTATAGTTTCATGTGTTCATATCATATGTTAATGGTAATTAACCAGTTTTGAATTGGATACGCAAAAACCAGTTTATCTATATGATCACTATATGATTCTTATTTATGCCAAAAATGAATCTGGTCATCAGCTCATGAACTTGATTTGAGAATCGACAATTCTGTAATACTTCGTGTTTCCCAGGATTTGAGTGGTACAGAGTGGATTTCTTGTCTAATAGTGAGAGGTAGTACAAAGTAGAAAGTTGAATACCTTTCACTAGACAACTCAAGAAATTCACTAGAAATAAGATAACTAATATATTATCAAGAGCTTACTGAGAGTCACAATTATAAGTACTGTATATGCATAAATTTAGTTAATCCTCAAACAATCCTATATTATTATTATTACTGAGTAACATTTATTCCTTTGTTTCTTCACAGTAAGCCTCAGCTCTCCTTTCTTCCCAGACTCAGTACCCTGTGCTCCATTTTGTTCAAATCATGAGACATGATTTGAATTTCTTCTCCTCATCAGGTGTTACAGTTTGTTTAGGTCCCTTTTGAAGGATGATAACCAAAAATCTGTTCTCCAGACGTGGTCTAACATTTGCAGAGTGAAGCAAAAATATCTCCCCTCTAGTTCTGTGTATTATAGTTCTATTAATGCAGTTTAAACCCACATAAGCTTAGGGTATTAAAATTAAATACCAAAAACCCTTTAAACACATTCTACACATGAGTCTTTTTTATTCTATACTTGTCTTGGAATCTACTATAGAATTCTTGCATTTATCCTTCTTAAATTTCTTCATTATATGTCATGTCTTTTTGGATCCTTATTTTGTTATCCACTGTTTTTTGCTGTCCTTTGCTGCTTCATGTCAGCTTCAGAACTCAGAAGCATACCCTGAGTACATAGAAACAGCTCCAAATCTCATTCTGTGAAGTAGTATACTCTGTGTGGGTTTGTTCAACCAGTTGCTGATTTAGCTAACTGAACTTGCTATATTTTTAAGTGTCATTCTTTTTTTTTTTTAAGTAGAATTTATTAAGAAGACAGAAAAGCTCCCAGAAAGTGGGAGGGGACCTGAAAGATGTTGCTCTTAAACATCATTTTTAAGTCACAGAAGACATTATAAAATTATTTACTAACATCTAGTTAAACATCAAGTATACTTTTTCTGATCTACAAGTCTTCCAAATACATAAGGAAAGAAACAAGATTAGTCTGTGACATGTCTTGTTAGTATTAGCTCATGTATCTTAATCCTTGAGATCTCTACATCCTCTTGGTATTCACAAGTCAAATGTTTAATAATTTGGTTTAGAATGGCATCTGAGATTAACATGACTCTTACAGATTGTAGAATTTATTGTCTTATTTTCTAAAACAGTCACCAGTCCAGTGACACTGGCAATGATTCAGAGGTCTCATTTTCAGGTTATTTCAAGTATCTTGGAACATAGTTGTTTAGTCTGAGAGATATGAACTTTCAAAGTGAGATATGGTACTGTATATTCTTAGCACTTCAAGTTATGTGAAACATTATGCTTTACAAAATCACTTTCATGTCAACTTCTGAGATAGGTGGGGATATTCTTATTTTATAAATGAAGAAATAATACTTACTTTAAGAAATGTACCAGTTCTATCTGTTAATACACAACCCATTTGGGACTAAAACTGATTATATGTCCAGTGTGTGTGTTATTCACTGATATTGTTATACCTCTTTTGCCTCACCATAACTTCACTGATATTGTTATACTTCTCTTGGATCACTTATAACTCTTATAGTTGATTGTGTATTCACATACAGTAATTTGATTGATCCTCAAAACTTTGTGAGGTATGTAATGCAGGCATTATTATGATTTAGTTTTGTAGGTAAGGAAAATAAGGGTGAGAGAAGGTAAAGTTAACTACATAAAATGTAGTTAGGACTGCTTTCTTAACCTCATTACCCGTTTTTAATATCTCCTTGCCTTTCCTGTTCATTCTTCACTTTTTAGTCTAGATAATAACTTTTTTTAGAACTGCGGCTGAAAGAAGGTACATAGGTTAAAAAGGTCAACACTTTAATAAGTAACAGAACATATGTGGAACTAAACTTAGGCCTTCTAATTGCTGTCTTCCTACCAGTATGTATTTTGTTCTGGAAGAAAGTACCTATTGGAAGACCCAGAAGATTCTTGAGACTTGTTCATACCATGATTGGAAGAATACTTGAGAATTATTCTGGTAGATGTGTGTTGGATTATTTGGAGAGATCAGAAGTGAAGGCCGATGTCAGCTCTAAAGTGGCCATATTAACATAGTTTGTTAACTGACTTAAACTTTACTGTGAAACAAATGTGAAATCATGAGGTTCTTACCAAAGATAAAACTTCAATATTTGGGTTTTTTCCTCTTTAAAATGCATAAGAATTAAGTGCTATACTCTTCCAGTCCTACCGGTATTTTTTGTTATCCCTATTACTTGTGTGTTTAAAGTGTGAGTGAGACAGGGAGGAAATAGCTTATATTGTATAGATGTCCCATGTTCCTTTTGACATTCTAAGCAACTGCAACAGACTGTTCTGAAATATCTATGTGTTAATTCTTATGGCTGCTGTAACATTACTCAAACTTGGTTGCTTAAAACAACAGAAATTTATTCTCTCACGGTTCTGAAAGCCAGAAGTCTGAAATTAGTGTCATTGGTTCAGAATTAAAGTGGCAAGGCCATGCTCCCCCTGGAGGCTCTAGGGGAGAATTTGTTTTCGTCTCTCTAGTGGCTGCCAGCATTCCAATCTCTGCCTCTGTAGTCACATGACCTCTTCTGCCTGTCAAATTTCTCTGTCTTAAAAGGTACATGTTGACTGCATTTTGGGCTCACCTGAATAGTGCAGGATAATCTCTCCCCATCTCAAAATCCTTAATCACATCTGCAAAGCCTTTTTTTTTGGCCATATAAAGTAACATTCACAGGTTCCAGGGATTAGGATGTGACTATCTTTTGGAGAGCCATTATTTAGCCTACTACAGTCCTTATTGTCTCTCTGCTTTTTTCCTTTTCTTTCTCATCTCTTTTCTTCTCTCCTATTTTTATTCCTTTTCATCTTCCAGAAGCACAAAGTGGCAAGTAGATTGAGTGGGCATGATCGGCATTAATGATCAAGAGTTTGAGTGGCTGTGATTATAGATCAGTAAGTCAGTCTTATTGCCCTCACTATAGAACTTCAAATTCTGTTCACAATAATTTTGTTGTTGCTGAATTAATTGACAATAATGGTACATTCATTAAATTCAGTATCCCCTATCAAAGCAATTATTGAAATTTTGGATAAAGTATTTGAGTTAACATGAAATGTCTGTATCTTTTTTAAGTATCCATCACACTGATTTTTTTTTAAAGCATCTGTTGATTGGCAAGTAGCTACTGTTGTTTCAAAGCTAATTTTACATTAAGTGAGTTTTCTTTTTCTTCATATTTGCATTTTGTTTTAGTGATAGCTCAGACTTGAATTTATCTTTTATTTATTTATTTATTTATTTGAGCTGGGATCTCACTCTGTTGCCCAGGCTGGAGTGCAGTGGCACTATCACAGCTTCAACCTCCTGGGCTCAGGTGATCCTTCCACCTCAGTCTCCCGAGTAGCTGGGACTACAGGTATGCACTACCATGCCTGGTTAATTTGATTTTTTACAGAGACGAGGTCTTGCTATATTGCCCAGGCTGATCAGTCTTGAATTTAATAAAGGAGACAGCATGTGAAGGAGTTGGCAGAATTCTGATTCAAAAGTTCATGCATGGTCCAGAGATTTTTATGGTTTGGGGCATATCATGTAACCTTTTGAGCCTCCATTTCCTAAAACATATAATAAATAATTTGGATTTTATGATTGTTAAATCCCTTCTAACTTGAAAAGCCTCTAGTTCTAGTATTTAGTATAAAGTATTTAAAGACCAATGAATAGGTAAATAAACCAAGAATCTTATTTTGTACTATTTGAAAAACAGAATCATATTGACAGTATTATTTTGAAATAACTGTCCTTGCTTTTTTCTTTTTCTGTAGATGGACCACACATCCCCGACCTACATGCTTGCTAACTTAACCCACTTACATTCTGAACAACTTCTGCAGGGCTTGAATCTTCTTCGTCAGCATCACGAACTCTGTGACATCGTTCTTCGAGTAGGTGATGTTAAAATTCATGCTCACAAAGTGGTACTTGCCAGCATCAGCCCATATTTCAAAGCTATGTTCACTGGAAACCTTTCTGAAAAAGAGAACAGTGAGGTTGAGTTTCAATGCATTGAAGAAACTGCTCTCCAGGCCATTGTGGAGTATGCCTATACAGGGACTGTTTTTATTTCTCAGGACACAGTTGAATCTCTCCTGCCAGCAGCAAACCTACTCCAGATAAAACTTGTCCTGAAGGAATGTTGTGCATTTCTTGAGAGCCAGCTTGATCCTGGTAATTGTATTGGAATTTCTCGTTTTGCAGAAACATATGGTTGCCATGACCTTTATTTGGCAGCCACTAAATACATATGCCAGAATTTTGAAGCTGTTTGCCAGACTGAAGAGTTTTTTGAGCTTACACATGCTGATTTGGATGAAATTGTTTCCAATGACTGTTTGAACGTAGCTACTGAAGAGACTGTTTTTTATGCATTAGAGTCTTGGATCAAGTATGATGTACAAGAACGCCAGAAATACTTAGCACAACTACTAAACAGTGTACGATTACCATTGCTGAGTGTTAAGTTTCTCACTAGACTATATGAAGCAAATCACCTTATTCGGGATGATCGTACTTGTAAACATCTTTTGAATGAAGCCCTAAAGTACCACTTTATGCCTGAACACAGACTCTCTCATCAGACAGTCTTGATGACACGACCTCGCTGTGCTCCCAAAGTACTTTGTGCAGTAGGAGGGAAATCTGGACTCTTTGCCTGTTTGGATAGGTAAATAGAAGGCTTTCTTAAAGGAGTAATGCTAATTTTTCAAGTTTGTTAAATATGTACGTTTTCTATATTTTAAAAATAGTTTGATTTTTCTTCCTACTTTATTTGCTTCTTTTTTCTCTTCTTCCTAAAGTACTTTGTGGTTTTTTTAATCATACAGTCATCCATTCTCTACAACACTCTGAGTTATCAACCAGCCTCCCAAACATGCACACTTTATCCAGCCTGCTTACTCACTAACTTTTCTTCCATTTTATGTCTTTTTTCCCTTCCCTTTCCCTTTCCCTTTCCCTTTCCATCTTTGAGTCAAACCAGATCAGAGATTATTCTTGCCAACTGTAGAGAAGTAGAACCTGTGGTGAGGGCAGACTGGGAGCAAGAGTTTGAATGAAAACAGTTAAAAGTTAAAAATATCACCAAAAAAAAGAAAAAAAATAGGATACTGATATAAATCATAAAGTTTATGTGCAAATCATATTCTTCAGTGTATTCTCAAAAGACAGTATTTAAAAAGTGTTCTTTCTTTCCTTCTAAGTTAGAGCAGGAGTTGTCAGACTTTTTCTTTTTGTTGTTTTTGGTTTTTTTTGAGTTGAGGTCTCACTCTGTCCCCCAGGTTGGAGTGCAGTGGCACACTCATGGCCACCCCAGCATCAACTTGCTGGGCTCAGACGATCCTTCCACCTCAGCCTTCCAAGTAACCCGGACTACAGGCATGTACTACCACACTTGGCTAGTTTTTTATTTGTTGTAGAGATGAGGTCTTGCCAAGTTGCCCGGACTGGTCTTGAACCCGTGGGCTCAGGCAATCTACTCGCCTTTGCCTCCCAGACTGCTGGGATTACAGGCTGAGCTGGCCATCAGACTTTTCTATAATGGGCCAAACAGTAAATATTTTGTACTTTGTGGGCCATGTGATCTTTGTTCATCTACTCAACTTTGCCATTGTTTTGTGAGAGCAGCCACAGATAGTACATCTGTGAATGAATATGGATGTAGTTCCAATAAAACTTTATTTTTTATTTTTTTTTTGAGTTGGAGTCTCACTCTGTCACCCAGGCTGGAGGGCAGTGGCACACTCCCGGCTACCGCAGCCTCGACCTGCTGGGCTCCGGCGATCCTTCCTCCTCAGCCTTCCAAGTAGCTGGAACTACAGGCACGCACTACCACACCTGGCTATTTTTGATTTATTGTAGAGATGAGGTCTCGCCAAGTTCCCTGGGTGGGTCTCGAACCCGCGGGCTTAGGCAGTCCTCTCATCTCAGCCTCCCAAAGTGCTGGGATTACAGGCTGAGCCACCAAGCCCAGCCTCCACCAAAACTTTATTTACAAAAATAGTAGATGGACTAAATTTGGCCCATGGCCATAGCCAATTCTTAATTTATAGCATTATACTAGTAACTTCTATACATTAAAAATGTAGCTTGCTGTTCTCTTTGCTTTTTCCGTGGTTATGATTGCTTCATAAAAACTTTTGTGTTTGATATATTTCCATCATACTGTGGATGTCTCTTTGGCCATTTCCAGAAAATTGGTAGATTGCTTTTCACTCTCCAGTGGCAGGAAACTACTGATGTTTTTACAGTGGCAACTGATATATTCTGCATCTTTTAAAAAGTCTCACAATACATTTTAATTATAGTCTAAAACTAGGATTGTTGAAATTGTGCTACAGCTAAATCATTAGTTATGGTAACTACACGAATTGATTGTATAGCTCCTATTCTTTAAGGCATTGATTTACTGGCAGAAAGTAAATAATATTAGTCAAATATTATTATGACAAACTTCCAAATATGAATTGGATTGTAAAAATTTTTGAGCAGTTGCCTTTTGATTTCTCAAATATTCAAATAAACATAAATTATTGAAGTTATAAGAACTATTCATATCTTTAGGCAGTTTTTATCATATATTATAAACTAATTAAAAATTAAAAATTTATTTACACAAAGCTGTTTATTGTAGCATTATTTATTTAATTTTTTTATTTTAAAGATGTGTATCATAGCATAACTCTAGAAAAATATTGGAACCAACCTGAATGATCATTCAGTTTGATTCTACAAAAAATATTAAACACCTGTGCATCAGGCACATTGCTAGATAATGGGCCTTCAACAGGTTCATAGTTTAGTAAAGGAGACAAATACTTAAATAGATCATCATAGCACTTGGTGTTAATGCAGTGATAAAGATAATTTTATGGAAATATTAAGGAGAGGCATTTATCAGCTGGATGTGGTGGCTTACACCTATAATCTCAGGACTTTGGGAGGCAGAGTTGAGAGCATTATTTGAGCCCAGGAGTTCAAGACCAGCCTAGGCAACAGAGTATGATGTCATTCATCTGTACAAAAAAAATTAGCTGGATGTGATGGTGTGTGCCTGTAGTCCCTACTACTTGGAGGCTGAGGCAGAAGGATCACCTGAGCCCAGGAGGTCGATGCTGCGGTGAGCAGTGATTGTGCCACTGTACTCCAACCTGGGAGACAGAGTAAGGCCCCAACTCAAAAAAAAAAAAAAAAAGAAGAGGCAGGTATCTCATCGGGGGATTTAGGGAAGGTATTGTAGAGAAGTTAATATCTAAGCTGAGTGTTGATGGCTAAGCAAGAACCAAGCAGAGAAAAAAGTTCACAGGGAATGCACAAAGACAGTGGCATGATACAGTATGGGATATACAGAAAATGAAAAGCTGATTGATATTCAGAAGTTTAAGGTTCTAAGCCAAGAAGTATCAGGCAATGGTCAGTACATCAACTAAGTCAAATAAGTTATTGTTTGCCATGATTAAAGAATAGATTTTTGTGTGGGTTGCAAAACTTCTAAGGAGGGTAGTGAAATGATCAGATTTGTATATTAAGTCGTTCTGACTGTACTATGGATAAAAATTGAGAGGCCTGGAATATCATCAGAGCAATTAGATGTTATTATAGAAGTACAGGCAAAAGATTATGAGATCCCAAATTAGGATAGAAATAGTAAAGATGGAGAATGGGGCATTAATATAAAAAATGTTTTGAGTAAATGGACAGGTCTTGGTGTTTGAGTGGATATCGGGAAGGGATAATAAAGGAGAGGGAGGAATCTAAGATGAATGAACTTTTTTGGTTAGATTGGGTAGATGGTTATATATCAAGAGAAAGAATGGAAGAAGATCCTCTTTAAGGGAAAAAATAATGTGTTTAGTTTTAGATATATGGAGTTTGAAATGCCTATGAAATTTCAAGTAAAGGATGCCCCATAGCTTGATATGAGTGCACAACTCAAAGAAGAGATCAGGGCTGGAAATTTGGAAGTCATCAGCATATAGTATAATTTAGAGGTATAAATTAAAACTATGAGGTCTCAGGATTTGCTGACTAGTCTAAATGTCATGCCTTTCTTCTTAGTGAGAACATATGGAAAGAAATAAAGGATTTATTTATAAGTGAAACTCTGGGGAACATTAATATTTAAGATGAGGGTAGTAGGAACAAATTTAGAGGTAGGAGAACCAAGAAAGAATAGTGTCATGAAAACCAAGGAATTTGTGTGTCAAGAAGGAAGGAATGTGATCAACAATGTAAAATGTAATGGAAACATCCAGATAGATAAGGATGGAAAGGTAGCTGTTAGACTTGGCATTATGGAGATCAGTAGTGATTTTTTGGTGGAGTAATTTCATCAGAGTTGTAGAAATTCTGTAGGTCATTACAGGGATTTGAAAAGTTGATTAAAAAAATAAGGAAATAGACTGAATAAAAAGACTGTTCTTTTAAGAATCTTGGCAGATACAAGAAGGAGAGAATTAAGGCAGTAACTAATAGAGTCAGGGAAAGTTTTTATTTGGCTTTATTTTATTTTTGAAGAGAAAGACATGAGTATGTTTATAATCAGATGCCAGTAAAGAGGGATAGGGTGATGATATAGGATTAGATGAATGGTCATTGATGGAGCAAGATCTTGGAAGAAACAGAAAGGGTATCAAAAGCAAGATAGAAGGTTTTGAATAGGACGAAAAGGCACTCTATGTCTCAAGACTGGGTAGGTTTACTGGTGGGGAGAGGAGCAAGAACAAGGTTTTAAAATAGGTCTTGTCCAATAGCTCCAGTTTTTTGTTTTTGTTTTTGGTTTTTTTTCTTTTTAAACTAGGGGAGGAGGTCTCCTAGAGAGGAAAGTGAGGATTGGGTAGGTAGCCTAAAGAAACTGGGGAAGCTCTGGGAACCATATTATTTCTACGTATACATAGAGAGTTGTTAAGGATAGCATCACTGAAAGTGTTTTTGAATAGTTAGGTGAATACATGTTGAATGGACATTTGTCTACATCACTCATCTCAACACTATAAGCCGTAGGTCTAATTCTAAGAAAGAACTTTCTTTTTTTTTTTTTTTGAGTTGGAGTCTCACTCAATCACCCAGTGACCGGAAGCGGCCACTGCAACCTCAACCCACTGGGCTCCGGCGATCCTTCCGCCTCAGCCTTCCGAGTAGCTGGAACTACAGGCGCGTGCTACCATGCCCAGCTAATTTTTGATTTATTGTAGAGATGAGGTCTCGCCAAGTTGCCCAGGCGGGTCTCATACCCTCAGGTAATCCACTCACCTCAGCCTCCCAAAGGCGAAAGAAACTTTCATTGGAACTGATTATCATTTGCCCTATGCTATGATTTGAATGTGTTATCCAAAAGTTCATATGTTAGAAAATTAATTGCATTTGGAACAATGTTAAGAGGTGGGGCCTTTAAAAGGTAATTAGGCCATAAGGGCTGTCTCATGAAGGGATTAATCCTTTATGATGGGAGTGAAATAGTTATAGTGGGGGTGAGCTTCTGATAGGATGATAAATTTGGCCCCCATTTTCTCTGGGTCTCACACACTCACTTGCTTGCCATGTGATGTCATTCACCAGGATGACCCTTGCTAAATGCAGGCATCATGCTCCTGGTTCTCCCAGCTTTCCAAACTGTGAGTCAAATATAACTTCTGATCTTTTTAAATTATTCAGTCTGTAATAGTTTGTTAAGCAGCAGAAGAAGAAGGACTAAGACAGAAAATTGGTACAGCTCAGAAGAAGAGAAGAGATGTAGAGAAACACTGGACTTCTTAGAGATTGCCTAAGTGATGGTGATCAGAATATAAATATAGATGGTAAAGGCCATTCTGAAGAGGTCTTAGACAGAAATAAGGAATAAGGTATTAGAAACTGGAGTAAAGGCCTTCCTTATACATTAGCAAAGACCTTGGCTGAATTGTGTGTGTGTCCTAGAACTTTACATAGTACAGAACTTAAGAATGATAAATAGGATATCTAGCAGAAGAAAGCAGCAAAGCATACAGTGAGATGCAAAAGGAAAAGAATGATTTAAAGATGGAATTTATAATTAAAAGAGAAGCAGAATAGAAAGATTTGGAAAATTGACAGCCTGGCCATGTAAAGAGTGAAAAGACATCTTTTAGGAGAGTAAATCAAGGATGTGGCCTGTCAATTTTTTGCTAAAGAGATTACCATGAATAAAAGGGAGCCAATTGTTACTCATCAAGAAAATGAGAAAAAGACCCAAGACTTTTCAACAAGACTGCCCCTCCCATCACAGGCCCAGAGCTCTAGGAGGGCAAAGTGGCTTTGGACACTGGCCCATGGAGCCCTCCACATGCTTGCTACCGGGCTGCCTTGAGAGTCTGCTCCCCGCTTTCCAGTGCAGTTCCTCTTAAGCAGCCTAGTTGTGGCTCATGCCACCACTCAGGAGGGCACAAGTGGTGAGCCTTAGTGGTGTTCATGTGGTATTAAGTCTGCAGACTTGCAGAATACAAGAGCTGTGAGGGCATGACTACCTTCATCTGGTCAAAGGATGTGTGGATAGCTTAAGAGCCCAGGCAGAAACCTGCCTTGGGGCAGAGCCACTGCAGAGCACCCCATTATGGCAGTGTCTAGTAGAGTCATGGGAGTGGACCACCCCCAAGACCACAGAACTGTAGTGCTACAGTGTGCAACATCGGTCTGGCAGAGCCATAGGCACAAGACTCCAACCCATGAGAGCTGCATGGGGTTAGCCCAGCAAAGACATGAGCGCAGAGCTACCTGAGGTTTTAGGGATTTAACTCCTGCCCCAGTGTATCCAGAAAGCAGGACATAGAATCAGAGGAGATTGTTTGTCAGCGTTAAGACTTTGTGTTGTCTTCTTTATTGGGTTTTGGACTTACTTGAGTCCTGTTACTTATTCCTCCCCTTCTCCACCACATTTCTCCCTTTTGAAATAGAGTATCTACCTACTCCTATCCCACAGCCGGAGGGAATTTGTCTCAGAACGAATCATGCCTTGAGTCTCACTCAGGCATGATTTAGATAAGACTCTGGACTTTGGACCTTTGAGTTCATGCTGGAATGAGCTAAGACTTTTGGGATACTATAGAATGATTGTATTTTGCAGGTGAGAAGGACATGAAGTTTGAGAGCGAAGGGCAAAATTCTATGGTTTGAAAATGTCCCCAAAAGTTCATGTGTTGGAAACTTAATTGCCATTGGGACAGTATGAAGAGGTCAGGACTTTAGAAGGTGATTAAGATATGAGGGCTATGCCCTCATGAAGGAGTTAATACCATAATCGTGGGAGTGAGTGAGTTGTCATGAGAGTAGCTCCTGAAAAAGAATATGTTCAGCCCCTATTTCCTCTCTGTCTTGTGCATGCACTCTCTCTTTATGTCATGCCTTCCAACATGGAATGGCCCTACCCAGATGCATGCACCATGCTCTTGGATGTCCTAGCCTCTGGGACCATAAGCCAAATAAACTTCTGTTTTTTCCTAAATTACTCAATCTATAGTATTCTGTTACAGTAGCAGAAAATGAACTAAAGACACCTAAAAAGACCATGGGGGCTAATGACTTTATATGTTATATCTATTTACCTAAATTATCTCCAGAAATCCGTAACTTCTAGATAATCCATCATCACAAACCTTAATCTTATTATCATGGAGAAGTTTTTTATTTTCCCCCCATTCCAACCAGTTTTCCAATTCTCCAATACCAACTAACAATTCATTTCAATTCTGACACTAAGTCTTCATGGCTAACCTATATCCCACAGTTTAAGGGCTCAGTTTTACAAGACTGTTCCTACTTCAGGTGCCAGCCATTGTCATTCCTAGTGACTGCAACACACTCAAAATCTTAGTTCACATATTCCACTCTTTGACCACCTCCTTTCTTGCCACCTAGTTTATTTCAGTTCACACACTTACATTATTTTCTTCAGGATTTTTAATTTTTTTCCTTTTTTTTCTTTATTTGGGGGTACAAATAGTTTTTGGTTACGTGGTTGTATTGTTTAGTGACAATGAGGTTTGGGCTATAAGTGTACCCACCACTTCCACTTGTGCACATTGTACCCTGTAGGCGACTTTTTCGTCCTTTTACCCCTCACCGCCCTGAGTGTGCAGTGTCCTTTACACCATTATCTATGCCTTTGCATATTCTTATTTTCGCTCCCACTTACAAATGAGACTGTATGGTGTTTTCTGTTCTCATATTAGTTTTCTTCAGGATTTTTGTTCCATTTGCCCTATAGTTAGTAAACTGCTCTTCAGCTGGCTTAATAGACTATTAATACTACTTTTGAAGTTGTCCTGTGTCCCTCCTTGACATATCTCTCTCCTAGAAGTAACCAGTGTCCTGAATTTTTTATGTATGGTTCCTTTGCTTTTTATTATAATTTTGCTACTTATTATATGTACCCCAATATATTCTTAGGTTTTACATATTTGTATATAAATGCAGTAATACTATATATATTATTCAGAGAGTTTTTTCACTGAATAGTAAATTTATGAAATTTATCTGTGAGATTGCATGAGGAAATAGTTCATTTACATTAATTGATATATGTTATAATATATGGGCATAATATATTTTTTCAATAATAATGTGTTATACACATATAACAAATTTACAGATCCTAAGTATAGAGCTCAGTGAATTATCACAAAGTGAACATTACAAACCAGTTCAAGAAGCAGTATGACCGGTAGGTACCCAGAAGACATCCTTGAGCTCCGTTCTTGTCCTCTCCAAAGATAACTACTGTCCTCATTTCTAATGCAGAGTCAAGTTTGACCTGGTTTTGAATTTGATATAAGTGAAATTTACAGAATATGTTTTTTGATTTTGGCTTTTTACTCTCAACGTCTATGTGTAAGATTCACTTCAGTTACATGTAGCTGTAGTTTGTCTTCATTGCTATATAGTACTCTTCTGTATGATATACAACAATTTATCCATTTTATAGTTGATGTACATTTGGGTTATTTCAGTCTTGGGCTATTACAAATAAGGCTACAGTGAACATTCTTGCACATATACATATGCATGCATTTCTGTTGGGTATATATCTAAGAGTGGAGTTGCTCAGTCACAGGACAGTTAAACCATACCTTATGCATTCTCCTTTTGGTGGGTAATTGTGTTCTGCTGCTGTGTGCATGTCTGTATTGTGTTCTGATGTAAAACTGATTGTAGTAGACATTCAGTAGTATAGATACGTAGTATAATTGCTGAATCAGGGCATGTGTGTATCTTCAACTTTCTTAGATAATATAAGATTGTTTTTCAGAGGAATTTATGCCAATTTACACTCTCACCCATGCAGTATGCATTCCTTGTCACACATTTTTGTAACAGTTATTATCTGACTACATTTTTGCCAATGTGGAAGGTATGTCATAGTTTATTGTGGTTTCAATTTGCATGTCCTTGATTACTAATGAGAATAAACATATTTTTGTTTATGGGCCGTTTGGTTTTTAAATTTTAATTTTTTCTGCTTATTCTTTAGTGTGGAGATGTACTTTCCTCAAAATGACTCTTGGATTGGTTTGGCACCCCTAAACATTCCTCGCTATGAATTTGGAATATGCGTTTTAGACCAAAAAGTGTATGTTATAGGGGGTATTGAAACTAATGTGCGTCCTGGCATCACTATCAGAAAACATGAAAATTCAGTAGAATGCTGGAATCCTGATACAAATACATGGACTTCCATAGAGAGAATGAATGAGAGCCGAAGTACCCTTGGAGTAGTAGTACTTGCAGGAGAACTTTATGCTTTGGGTGGTTATGATGGACAATCTTATTTACAATCTGTAGAGAAGTATATTCCCAAAATAAGAAGATGGCAACCTGTGGCACCAATGACCACAACAAGAAGTTGTTTTGCTGCAGCTGTATTGGATGGAATGATATATGCCATTGGTGGGTATGGTCCCGCCCACATGAACAGGTATTTAAGTTAATAATCAAATTATATATCTTTATAGATTTTTAAGGTATCATTAGTAATGATTTCTGAGTTTTAAACAATTTATTTCTATGAATAAGCTTTCTTTTAAAAATTTTAAAGTAATATTGATAGGCATTTGGGAAATTTAATCTGCTCCATGAGTATGATTGTCATTGTTTTAAGTGGGAATTTAATACAAACCCAAGAATCAAATCCTTCTTGTTAAATTTTACATTCATTCATTATAGACTAGATTTTAAAACTCAGAAACCTGAAAATAAGATGAAGTTAGATGACTAGATTTTGTGTAGTGCATGCATGTGTGTACAGTATGTATATTGTCGTTTATTGCATTGCTTAATAGAATAACAGTGGAAATTTAATTCCTGTATGTCTATACAAGTTTATAATGCATCATAAACTTAAAGCCTTATTTAAATATTCCTTTGTGGATCTGTATTCTATAATCATATGTGTATCATCATGTATCTGAGTTGTACTAGAGTCTGAATTTGTGATATCTGTATTCTGCAGTATTTGCTGAATAAAGGAAAAAATATGTGAGAAAATAAAACTATAAAGCTACTGCTTATATGGAAAATTAATCATAACTCTGAACCTTTATTGGAAATTAATATTCCAAAGAGTTTATCTTTAACAGTAATTAGAATGGCATGTGTTTTATTGATTGTGAGCATTTTTTTTATTGTGAACATTTTTTAATGTATTACTTGTATGATATTGTGAACATTTTAATTAAAAAATGTAGTCAGCCCTCCTTCTCTGTGGGTTCTGTGTCCACAGATTCAACTAACTGGATCAAAAAATTCAAAAAATAAAAACACAATTCAGAATTATACAAATAAAAAAATACCATAAGCAACTATTCACATAGCATTGACTTTGTGTTAGATGTTATAAGTAATCTAGAGATTTAAAGTGTACAAGAGGATATGTGTAGGTTATATGCAAATACAGCACCATTTTACATGAGACTCGAACATCTGTGGATTTTAGTATCCATGGGGTGGGGTGGGTCCTGGAGCCAATCCCCCACAGATACTGAGGGACAACTGTATTGTGGTTTGTCAACTGAGAAAATGATGACACAACAGTATTTTATCTATAAATTCTTACTTACATTTAAGCTAAAGTATTCCTCCTTTTTTTGCTTCCTTAGTTGAAGGAAAAGTATCTGGGGGCCCAGACATACATTTCTATTCTTTGAAAAAGTTTCTGGCAAAAATTTGTAAGATAAAAGGTTAAATATTTAAATATTTACACTTTTGAAGTTTAAGGTCTTGCTACAGTTTGTCATCTCTTCTTCAGTGATTTTGGTATAATGGTTTTTATCCTGGTGTCCTTTCAGAATCACTGTTATCTAGTCTCTATTATTAACTCACATAATAGAATTCATCATCACAGAATGATGTCACAGCCTCTCAAATGCTTAAGGATTTTTCAAGAAGTTAGGTCAAGACAAGAACAAGCTCAACATACTTACCTCTGTGCCTTGTGTCCCTTTAGGGTAAATCATAGGCTTAGAAGTGCTTCTGGAATATTCTAGGGAAGCTTTTTTGGAAATTCTAATTTGATTTGGATTTCTGTCATGCAGCTTGGAATTGTCTCAGATTCTGTGGAATGTAGTCTTGACTTAAATTCCTGAATTCTCTTAAATTACTCTGAGATTATGATTAGCCAGTAATTGCTTTGCAGTAAATCACGTGAATTCTCCTATAAGAAAAAAAAAATGTGTTTTTTCCTTCTCTTCCTCACCCCCTTTTCCTTAATTATGTCGCAGATCCTTAGTATCTTTTAAAATTTCAGTATTCAAGCTGGAAATGGTGTTGTACACCTTTAGTCCCAGCTACTTGAGAGGCTGAGGTAGGAGGATCATTTGAACCCAGGAGTCCAGGGCTACAGAGAGCTATGGTTGTGCCACTGTACTCCAACCTGGGTGACAGAGTAAGACCGTGTCTCCAAAATAAACTAATTAATTAAAAGACTGAAACAAACATCTATATTCAATTTTTTGGTTTTTAAAGTCAAATGCATACTCATTTGACTTTATTCTTGTATGAATCCCTTGAGGTTGTACTATACTTGTTTTTTTCAGGTGAGAGGGATGACTTATTAAAGGATTCCACAAATCCAAAGTAGTAGGACTAAGGTTCATTTATTCAGCCCTAGGTATACAGCATTAGTACTTGAACCCAGGTCTTCTGACTCCAAGTTCTGTGCTCTTAACATATTTTGCTGCTTGTACAATATAATGGAATAGCATAAGGAATTGCACCCTGTTCACAAGGTAAGCTTTTATTCCTGCAATCTTATCAGCAAAATCTAAACATTTGGGACAAACTGCTATTGTTTAATGTTTCTATTTATTTGAACTGTTAAAACTATCGTGGCTTTTACTTTTGCTTTAACAGGAAGAATGGCACGCTTCTCTGAATTATTTCTTTCTTTTGTGAATATTTGCAGTGTGGAGCGTTATGATCCAAGTAAGGACTCCTGGGAGATGGTTGCATCCATGGCAGATAAAAGGATTCACTTTGGTGTGGGTGTCATGCTAGGCTTTATTTTTGTGGTGGGTGGACATAATGGTGTCTCACATTTGTCAAGCATTGAAAGATATGACCCTCATCAAAATCAGTGGACTGTGTGTAGACCAATGAAAGAACCCAGAACAGGTAATAATAATTTATTGATTTTCTAAACATATAGGAAAACACTATAGTGATGTCTTGGAATAATTGTTCCTTGGAATATAATAGGAATAGTATTACAGGTCTAGAAAAATAAATTGTTTGTGAAAGACAACTAGCTAGACAAAACTATATAGGTTCCTTTGATTTTAATATGCCAGTGTGCATATTACTGTTTCTCAAACTCGGAGAACACATTTTGAGAAATACTGATAATAGTGTATCTTTATAGAAGCTCTTTTTGTCTATATACTTACAGTTTTATAAGTAACACACATACACATAATCCTGTTTTTTGTTTTTTTGTTTTTTGTTTCTGTACATCAGCAATCAGTTTACTTTCAAATGTTCTTTATTCCCCATGGGGTATAGTTGATCAAAAATGGTTGGATTTTAGGTTTCCTAGTGAAAAGAACAAAAATATGATTGTACTTTTGGAGAAATTGTTATCTTTGAGCTCAAACTTAGATCACATAATTTTAAGGAGAAGGTTTTAAGTGGAAATACATTAGGGAGTACTCCTTCTATGGGTTGAGAATTTCTTACCCAAAATGCTTGGGACCAGAAGTGTTTTGGGTTTCAGATTTCATGCTTTTTCTGATTTAAGAATATTTTCACTATACCTGACCAAGTCAGGTTGAGCATCCCAAATTCAAAAATCTCAAATTTGAAATGCTCCAGTGAATACTTTTTTTGAGCATCATGTGGTACTCACAAGGTTTTGGAGTATTTTTTATTTCAAATTTTTGGATTTGGGATGTTCAATCTGTATTTATGATTAAAGAAACTTTGAGGCATAGTCATCCAAAGGAAATTGAAAGGACAAAATAGAATGAACTATTTTAGTGTTTACAGTAATTAGTTTCTTTGGTATCCTTTAGAGAAAAACTCATATAAAAACAATGAGAACTTAAAAATTTTAGATAGACTGCTTCTTTTTAGCACCAATGTGATAATATCTGAAGTAGAGTTTTTAAAAGCATAAACTACATCATTTAACATACTTTTAATATTTCAAAATATTTGAAAACCTGATAAAATGAATGATTTCTAGAAAAAATGTATGTAAATATAGATTCACACTACATTCTTAATAGTACTTTTCTGAGGGTAGGGGACAGGGTGAAGGAAGACTTTCAACTCTTACATTTTAGTAAGGTTTTTTTTTTTTCTTTTATAATGAGTAAGCACATATTGCTAGGGTAGTACCCCCCCCTAACTGTGGGGAATATGTTTTAAGATCCCTCAGTGGATGCCTGAAACTGCAGATAGTACCAAACCCTATATATATTATGTATTTTCCTATACATACATAGCTATGAAAAAGTTTAGTTTATAAATTAGGCACAGTAAGAGATTAACAACAGCAACAACAAGATAGAATGATTATAACCAAATATTGTAATAAAAGCTTATGTGGTCTGTCCCCCATAATATCTTATTATACATTACTCAGCTATTTTTGGACTGTGGTTGACCACGGGTAACTGAAACCATAGAAATAGAAAATTTTTATAAAGGGAGACTACTGTATATTGCTTGTATAATTAGTAATAGACTGTTAAAATGTATTTTAACAAAACATTAAAATGCAAATTTGTTTTAGTAAGAAAAAGTCTACTTCATGCATAACTTTTTTCCCCCCTTTTTTACCATCCTTTCCTAGGAGTTGGTGCTGCAGTAATCGATAACTACCTTTATGTAGTCGGTGGTCACTCAGGGTCTTCCTATCTGAATACAGTGCAGAAATATGATCCTATCTCAGATGCATGGCTGGATTCAGCTGGCATGATATACTGTCGCTGCAACTTTGGGTTAACTGCACTTTGACAAGTGTGAACTCTCGGAAACAGTATCATAGTGGAACTTGTGCTGCATGGAAGGATGCCCAGTTTTCTGAAACCCACAAGCTGCATTGCTTTCTTTTTAACTTGAAGTAGCATGAAGACTCAAAGTTGTATTGGGTACTTTGAATTGACAAATAGTTTTGGTTGCTCTTGATTACACCTAAATAATCAAAAGATAAAAAAAAGGAAAGACCTTGCCAATTGAATTGTGCACTGTTTTCCTAAGACTGGTATTGACTAGTTTTATGTTCATAAGTATACATGTAGAGAAAATCTTGCTGCTTTTTAAAAATTTTAGCTCTTCCTCCTTCATATATGAACCATCATTTACTAGGATGAGAGATGCTTTAGGTGCCGGAGTGTATTGAATGACTGGACAGAGTGCTGATACTGCGTGTTGGATGTAAATTCGTATGCTTCACATTTTTTATGTGTTTTAAAATAAATAAAGGGCTGCTTTTCTTTGGGTACTTTTAAGGATTGTAAATAACATGCTATAGGGAGTCATCTGAATATGCTTCCTGCTAAATGGTTTTAGAGTTGAGGATGAACTAAGTTTGTAAGACAGTTGCATTTACTACCATGATATCTGGGGTCCTGTTTTAAGAAGTCAGATATTTACTTTTACGCCTTTTATATATGTGCAGGCTAATGCTGGACAAATTGAGTTACTCATCTATGCTAAGCATAGATAGATGGAGTTAATCATATCAGTTCCTTCAGTTTCTCTTCAGTAGTACAGCAGGCTTCCCAGTGTTGATATAAATATTTGAGAAATGTTTAGTAGCATTCTTAGTGTATCCTGATTTTTCATATATCCTTATAATAATTTTATTTTTAAGATATGTGTTTGCTTTTTTAAAGTGTTCAGATGTGAAAATGGTGCTAACTGTAGGATCTATAACAAGGCTATAACTGATGTTCTTTTGGATGTTCAGTATGAAATATGCATGACATGTTTTGATAGTCTTTCATTTTTACTGGTTTGGTTCATTTGTGCTTATTAAAAATGTTAGTGATTACACTAATGTTAACATCCGAAAATCATCACCATGGCCTTTGTTATGCTTCTCATGGTTTCTGAGTAGTGATTTAAAGACAGATACATTTTTATTTTCCTTTTTTCTTGTGCTAGATATTACGTGTCCTTCTTAAAAACAGAAATATATGCATTAAATATAAAGCACTAGGCAGTTGTGCATTACTTTGTACATTTCTTAGGTAACTGAATATTTTAAAGTGATTGAGGAAAACTGGAACTGGATGTTTACTTGAGTAATGGTTCTAAATATAGTTCTATGTTGATTAAAGGAATGATCTTTTAAAGCAAAATAGCTTACTGTAGCCAGTGACAGCTTATTTAAAAGAAGTGGTTAACTTATTTTAGCATGTTTTAGTAAGTGTCTGTTAGTCTTAAGCGCATTAACTTGCATTTTATTATGATGTCGGTACTTACATTATTGGTACTGTAGTCATTTTGTTTTCTTTTTCATAATTTTGTTTTTACCTGTCTACTATCTCTTTATAAAGTCTCTGCAAGACCAGTATATATTTTTTCCTAAGAAAAAAATTCATACTGCATTAAGTACCATATGTTTTAGACTATTGTTAAGAAACCACTTGTAGTTACATAGGTTAGCATATGCCATATGTTATTCTTGAAAATTATAGCCGGGCAATTTGCGGTTTTACTTGTTCTTCCATAAACTGCCGGTTGTAGATTTTAATATATACTACAAAACTATGTAAAATCATCTTTAATCATAAAAGTAGAATCATGCTTTATGAATATTTGCACAGATTATAAAACCTTGCAAGTGATTTTTAGTCTCTTCTAATTTAGAGCTCAGCAGGAGCTACTAATAGAATCAACAGTCTGTTTTCTATGTTGCTTGTTTGAATAACATAATGATATACAGCAATAACTTTTTTCGTTGATTTGGATAAATCTATTGCATAGAAATAAGGTGCACTATTGTGGTTGGCCTAGACTTAATTTAAGGAAAAGCAACTTAAAATAGATTCCATCACATACTTAGTTTTAAATTTCCAACTCATTTTTCTTTGTTTATATCAAATTATTAAATAAATTGTATTATACTATTTTAATCCCCTACTCCTTGAAGGGAATTTGAAAGGTTTTAATTGTAAACACGTTTCCTATACATTGTATTTTAACAATGTTTTACTTATGTATCATTTCCACTATCAAATTAGTGTAAAATAGATAATCATTTGGTAAATTAGATTGAAAGTATATGCTGATCATTGCTTTTGAAAAATCTAAATTTCATCTTGGTGAAAACTAAATGTGAAACATCTTGGGCAATAATAGAAGGAGCCATATACCAGTGAACAAATTATGAAAATCTGTGAAGGGAAGGAAAGAATGCTCAAAATTTAGAAATATGTTTATTTTAGCATTACTAAGCATACTGTATTATGTATGACAACCAGAGCTACTAATTTGATCTGACAACTGATAAGTTTACAATAAAACCTCCTTTTACAAATTTGCAAGAAGTTTCATTATGAATACTCTACTGATAAAATGTGAACATAAAGTCACATGTTTCTTATGTTAAAAAAGATAAAAATGGTTATAAACCCACAGGATTAAAGGTATTAGAAATAATTATACATAATCAGACAAGGAGAGAAAAGCTATTTAAGATCACTTAGAAATATTTTGGAAAAGAGTAGCATTGGGAAATAGAAATTAATCAAATCAGTTGCAAGATAATTACCTTCTGTAATTAAGTTATAATGACCTATATGACCTTATAATGACCTAATGATCTGTTAAGACTGTTTGGCTATGATATTTGTTGGATGTCATAATAGAATGTTAGTGATTTTTAATGTAGCCCTAAGGATATTTACAAAATCCATGTTATTGCTAATATTGTTTTAAATACGAATGAACATTAAATTATAGGAAGTGGTATCAAGTGATAAGAAAATAGCATTAGGTTTTGAAAGTTTATTTTTGGTAGTTTGATATGTATGAACATTATTATATGTATCAACTTTTCTGTTAGAAGCTGTGGGAGCTAAAAAGATAAATAAGATATACTCTTTCCACTCAAAGAGAGGAAAATATAGTGGAAGAGACCCTGAAATTATGGTAAAGTGTGACTCTAATTCCTTATCTCCAATATCATAATAAATGAGTAGTTACTAGTTTATGCATAACAATACTTTAGTATCCAATTCGGTTTTATTTGCATTAAAAAGCCTAATGTTTATAGACCTGCAAATTTCCTAGAATTGGATAATGTATTTTCTAGTAGAAAAACTAGAAATTTAAAAACACAGAAACCTATTTCCTATAGAATCAAGGCTTTGGCTAACATCGAGAGAAATATATGTACATATAATGCTGCGTTTATTTTTGGTTTTGGTGTTGGATTCCTGGTATTGTCACCTAAGTGCTCATTTTCAGGAAAATCAGATTCTACAATAAACACTTACTGCTTCAAGTTCAATAAACTTGTGATAACCTCTTAACCTCTGTAGTCTGAAAGTTAAGAAATTATAAAGTGTCACATGTCAAGTTAACATCCAGTTCTACTTCTTAACCTTTTTCCCTTTGTAAACAGCACTTTAATTAGACATGATTTGATTAGATAACAATTATTCTGTGGCTGAATATGTATTGGATTTTCACTTAGAGTACGTTGATTCAGTGTTGCTACACATTCAAAAAGAGGAATACAATACGTTTTAAATACAATAGGTTTACACATTTTCTTACTGGTGTGAATATGGAGTCAAATAAAAATCCAGTTTACATCTTTGCAGAGAGAAAAATTGTTATCCATGTGTCTTTTGTATTATACATATTTAACTAGAGATAATTTATTGTTAATTTTGTCAAGTTATCATGTGTAAGTCCCATTTATTTTAAAATACTAAGCAAAAAGTTCCAAGTTTGCCTTAAAATACAAGTGAAATTAAAGAACTGGATGATAAATGCCTATATTTTTGCCTTATGAATTGTGCTGTATAATAAACCAGCAATGGTTTTGATTTTAACAGGATTCTGAAATTTTGTAGATGTAGAGTACTAATATTTGTACTCTCTTGCAAAGAATGTGATCTAGTTGTGGATTATGTTAATGTTTAAATGTTTTTGTATATGTATTTTACCTCTGAATATGTGCTTTTTAGCATCAGGGTTTTATTTTATTTTTGTTTTACATAGTAAAGTAGCATTTAACTTGTTGAAGGTTGTATTCTTTTTTATTTTAAAAATTTTTGTGTGTATATTATTGTGGTAATTCTCTGTAATGATTATGGTCACATTTCATTTAATGTAAAATGTTTAAAATAAAATAAAAAATATGACTTTGTATATGTCACATGATAATTGTTGTGAACTGAACTTTGTTATGCTCAACTCTTAGGGGTTTTTGGTGTAGGTAGGTACTGGCCTCAAAAGTTGAGGGGTATATGGGGTAGCTGCTCCTTTACATACTCATTGCTAGGTTATAAGAAAAATATGTCTTAGGCCAAATTCTACCACATATTCAAACATTTACTAAAAAAACATTCATTAGCAAAACACACACAAAAGAGTTAAGTTAGCAAGCCGGATGCCATCCCAGCTTTCTGTCATTTTAGATTCTTTTTTTTTTTTTTGAGTTGGAGTCTCATTCTGCCGCCCAGACTGGAGTGCAGTGGCATGCTCCTAGCCACTGCAGCCTCAACCTGCTGGGCTCCAGCAATCCTTCCACCTCAGTCTTCCAATAGCCAGAACTACAGGCGCGTGTTACCACGCCTGGCTAATTTTTGATTTATTGTAGAGACAAGGTCTCGCCAAGTTGCCCGGGTGTGTCTCGAACTCGTGGGCTCAGGCAATCCACTCGCCTCGGCCTCCCAAAGTGCTGGGATTACAGGCTGAGCCATCAAGCCCGGCCCATTTTAGATTCTTATAAGAAATGTTTACGAAAAAAAAAGAAAAAAGAAACAAAAGCAAAAAAAAAAAATTTTTTTTTAAAGAAATGTTCGCGGGTTCGAGACCCACCTGGGCAGCCAGACCTCATCTCTACAAAAAATCAACCGGGCGTGGTAGCGTGCGCCTGTAATTCTGGCTACTCGGAAGGCTGAGGCGGAAGGATCGCTGGAGCCCAGCAG